CTTATGTTACATATACACATAGTTTATTATTCATTTAGATTTAATTCATAAAGAGCACATGATACATTGCACTCCATTTCTTTCCCTTTCATCTTTCCATACATAAAGTATTTCTTTTCTAATTTGATTTTCATTTGGTTAGAATCCCTTCTCTAGTCCCTTTCTTAGATGCGGCAGGGGGATTGTGCTCCTTGAATTGTTAAGTGCTGGCAGATAGTTCGCATCAGGTGCAGGATGTTTGGGTTGTACAGTAGTTCTCCCTTATCTGTGGTTTTTCTTTCCATGGTTTCAAGTATGTGATCAATGATGGAAGAAAACTATCAGATGGAAAATTCCCCAATGAACCATTCATAACTTCTAAATAGCTTTTATTACAATATATTGCATAATTGTTCTATTTTTATTATGTAATTGTCATGATTTCTCTTACTGTGCTTAATTTATAAAATAAACTTTATCAAAGGTACATATGTATAGGAGAAAACATTGTGTGCATAGGGTTCAGTTTTATCCAGGCATCTCCTGGGAGTCTTGGAAGATAGCTCCTGAGGGTGAGAGGGATTACTGCTCTTCTTTTTCTCACAGTCATCCAGATGTTGTGTTACTTTGTTTTAGAATCCTGTGTTACAAATGAAAAAATCCAATGTTAATTTGAGTCTGTTTCTTTTGAGTAATTATTGTTCCTTGTAACATGTCACTTTTTTTTTTATCCTTAAAGTTCAGCAACTTTAGTGTACTGTTCTGGGTGTGTTGTTTATGACTAGTCTTGTCTGCATTTTGAAGAACCCTATGGGGTTGCACTTCAGTCACATCTTTAGTTTGTAGAAACTTCTTCCACATCAGCCTTCAGGATTGCCTCTTCTGTCTTTTCTGTTTCCTTCTTCTGTAGACGCCTCTGAAATGTATGGTATGTTAGGTTGCCTCCAACTGTTCTTCAGACCTCCATTATTTTGCCATTGTTTTCAGTGCTTGTATTTCTGCTTTTTTTCCTAGAATTTATTTTTCATATTCTGTTTGATTCTTCTTAAGTAATCATACTGTTTTTGACATCAATATTTAATCTGTCTCTTCCAGAAGATTCATTAGGTATGTGTTCATTCTTATTTTTGCTACCCTGAGACTTGTTATTTATATTTATATGAGACTTGTTATTTATATGTGTAGGGGCTCAGGTTGAACTGGTAGGAGACCTTAGGTGTTGTAATGTATAAGCCAGAGAGGTGTGGGCATCTCAGCCTGCACTATAGCAGCAGGCATATTGCCTGATTCCTATCTGCATACCAGGGAATGCTTTGCCTTCTTTCTGGTCTCATTCCCCATCCCCAGGAGTAGAGCCCCTCTCCCTCCTATTGAGTGCCTTTGGATCTAGCTTGGAGCCTTTGCTGATGAAGCCCTGTACCACCAGCTTTTTCTCTTAGGATATCCATAACCCACAGCACATTCTTCAATCCCCACTGCCTCTCGCTCCAGAGCTGACTGGTTTAAGAGAGAGTTGGATTTGTGGTTGAAATGGAAGAGGTAAATCAAATTCAAGGTTTTTCCCACCCATAATTCTGAGCATTTATACTTTGTTCATAGCTTCAGATGGTATATCTTTGCTCTGTGTCATTTGACATGTTTTTAATGACACAACAGAAGAGACAGTTTGGAAGCTGCAGTTTGACCATCATAGTTTTTCTTATCCCTACAGAGGGATAACCTCTTGGACTATATGTCAGTTTTTAGGCAGTATGCTTTTAAAACGTAGTTCATTGTTTTAAGAGAATTATTAATTCTGAAAAATAAAACTTTGAGGCATATGTGTTTGTCTGTATGCAAATTTCATTGAACAAAATGTGATTGATGTGAAAATCTTGCACAATGCAGAAACCAGTTAAAGTCGGACAGAGAGGAAGGAAACAGGAGTTGAATCAGCTTTCAGTTACCAGTGGGAAGAAGACACAGAGATAACATGGAAATTGAAAAGCCACATATAATCAAAAACCTTACTTTGGCCAGTAGTTACCACCTCTTCTTTTCTTAAGCCATCTATAAGAGTGCTGACAACTAGTATTAGAAGAGATTATACTTTAAAGAGACCTGTTGTTTGAAATTGAAATAAGGAAGCTTTCAGTAGACATGAATGAATGAAAGAAAATACTATACCTTATATTCACAGATTGTAAAGTTAGTGCAAATATATGGGTATTTATATTTAAAAAGTCATTTGCCTTAAATATTTGAGATTTGAATTATGCAGACATGTTCTCTTTTGTTGGATTGCTTGATATTCAGTTTGTCCTAATCAGCCTCAGGCAAAGGGAATTTGAATTATACAACATGTGTAAACTTCACATTGAATGGTAATTAGTCTGTGATGCTTAGTGGCACTTAATATTGAGGTTAATGGTTCAATAAAACTTTTAAAAAGCCACTGAATAGATTGTGTGTGTGTGTGTGTGTGTGTGTGTGTGTGAGAGAGAGAGAGAGAGAGAATATGAATGTGTTTGGGAGATGTGTGTGTGTGTGTGTAATCAGTGCAAGTTTTCATTCTGTGTCAGAAACAATTTAATGCCTGACTATATATTTAAGCAACTGTTTCATATTTATTATATGTATGAATATGGAATCTGGTGGCATATATTTGAACTTTGTCATTTATCACAGACCCAGGCCAAAGGAAATGCTGTTTTATATAATAGAAACCATTCTCTCTCCTTTTTGTTATTTTTAAATTTTTATTTGTCTAGCACATTGTTATGGAATACATTTGTCCTCTTGACTTTGAATTCTTTTTTTAGCTTAAAGAAAGCTTTTTCAGGTAGGAATTACAAAAGGAGAAGGAATAAGAAGGGTTGGGCCACTTGCTTGTACCAAGATTTGTTGAGTGGGTTAAAAGGTAGCACTAAGTACCTTGACCTACAGAGAATAAAAAGTTTTAAGAACTTGTATTTCTCGAGTTTTGTATATGCATGTAATTAAGAAAAGAACTTAGAATTTCTGTGACATAATAATCTGTTTCATATACTATTGTGTACCTTGTGTTAAGAATTTCAGCTTGTTCTGAAGAAAGGCTTTTAAAATATATCAAGGAAAGACCCCTGAATAAGTTTTGTTTTGTTTTCCTGGTGCTCTAAATATTACTATTTTTAATGCGTAACATTAGAAATATGTTGATAATTTACAAATAGTGTATTTTCAGAAGTTACATTTATAAAAATATGTGTCATACTCCACATAGGTTGAATATTAAATAGCAGTGCTTGGTGTGTTAGAGCCATAATTAGACTACTGATTGCAAATTACCAAAATTTAGAGTCAACAAACCAATTTAAAAAAAAAAAAAAACCTCAAGGCTATTAGATTTCAAAACGTTCTTCCTTAATTTAGTTTGTCCATTATACTTTATTTTAATTATTCATAGTATTGCTTAACATGCCAGGAAATGTCTTATAACAGAATTTATAAAATAATGCAGCTTCAGTAATATGAATTCTATCTTTAGCATTCTGTTTTTAAATCTCAGATTAAGATGTTTTGTAACGAATTGTCACTTTTGATCAATAAGAGCAAGATTTCACTTTAGTAACTTTACCATTTTATAATTTTGAAGCAAAAATGCTCATTTGAGAAAACAAGTGAAATAATTTGGCATATGTCATTTTGTTGTTGAGCAAATTAGACCAAAAAATGTAAGAAACAAAAAATACATATTCCCACTAAGAGCAATAATTTCTCGTTTCCCCATAGATTGAGTAAGTAGTAGATTGTTCATTTCAGTGAAAAGTGTTTGCCCTACCTATTGACTTTCTTGTATCATGCTAGATATTAAGGGATATAGGGTTAGTTTGCCTATCATGAGGCTTAAGTGGGTAAGTTGGAGATAAAAAAAAAATAAGCGTGAAGATGTAAATTCTAGTTGAAAATCTGGACATTTATTTGTCTTTGGTTCCATTAGGAGGTGGAAGTAAGCAAGAAAGCGCTCTTCTTTTAGTATTGGTGTGGATTTTTGCATGTCCAGGATCTACTTCTGTTTCTTATTATTACTATTAATGATAGAGGTTCACAAATAGGGTAAGTATGGCCTGAGAATTTTGTTCCTACAGAAAGAATATATACAGGTTACACACCTTAAGTTGTTTATATCAGTATATATTATATTATTATTGCTGACATTTAAAGTGAAGTAGGAGCAATTAACTCTTCCAAGTAATTGATAAAATCTTCAGTCCATTTGATGGTTAAGTTAAATCTTTGTTAGACTCCTTCTTTTTCACCCTTATGGGTGGGAGACATATTCCTTAATTGATAGAACTTTGGACAGCATAAAAATAATAGTTTTTATCTGAAATTGAGAATCATTTTCTTTTTGAGTGTTTGTGATTCTTGACATTGCAAAGTCATTTACAGACTGGCATCACTGTGTGTAGCTCGATGCAGCTCCCCGAATGAAGTCAGCGCTTCACTCCCTTGCTGTTTAGTTTATTCTGGTCCTTGGTCTCTAAGTACCATTTCATTCTTCTCTTTCTAGCAGATTATTTCCTATCCTCCAGGACCTAATTCACATATTACTTTTCTATGAACTTCTGAATTATTCTTCTTCTCGTGCCCCCAAAGAATTAAATATCCCTTTCATTTGGTTGTCATAGCACTTAAAAGGTGGGTCTTCCAACAACTGTCAATCATAGTTATTGAGAGTGAGGGCCATGTGTTATCCATCTTTGTATCTTCTAGGAGAGCGCGTAGTTAACATTTGTAAATTGAAATGTTTTAAAACTATGCTTTCAATGATTAAGAAAACAGCTTGCCTCATTAAATTCTTTGATCATGGTAACCTTTTCTCCCTATGTTTCTTGTATACACTGTTCCCACCTGTTATACTTTGGTGGTTGGAGTATATTAAAATATTTTTTAGGAATCAAAGAAGGATCTCTTTGTGTATATCAAATTCAAGGAAATTGGCTTTTGACTCTATTGCCATTCAATTTTAAGAGTTTGATTTTCTTCTCCCCTTTCTGCAGGACCCTAATAGGAGTATTCATACCAGCAGCAGCAGCAGCAGCAGCAGTAGCAGCAGCAGCAGCAGCAGCAGCAGCAGTAGTAGTAGCAGTAGCAGCAGCAGCAGCAGTAGCAGCAGCAGCAGCAGCAGCAGTAGCAGCAGCAGCAGCAGTAGTACCAGTTTTTCAAAGCCTCACAAATTAATGAAGGAGCACAAGGAAAAACCTTCTAAAGACTCCAGAGAACATAAAAGTGCCTTCAAAGAACCTTCCAGGGATCACAACAAATCTTCCAAAGAATCCTCTAAGAAACCCAAAGAAAATAAACCACTGAAAGAAGAGAAAATAGTTCCTAAGATGGCCTTCAAGGAACCTAAACCCATGTCAAAAGAGCCAAAACCTGACAGTAACTTACTCACCATCACCAGTGGACAGCAAGATAAGAAGGCTCCTAGTAAGAGGCCCCCCATTTCAGATTCTGAAGAACTCTCAGCCAAAAAAAGGAAAAAGAGTAGCTCAGAGGCTTTATTTAAAAGTTTTTCTAGTGCACCACCACTGATACTCACTTGTTCTGCTGACAAAAAACAGATAAAAGATAAATCTCATGTCAAGATGGGAAAAGTCAAAATTGAAAGTGAGGCATCAGAGAAGAAGAAGTCAGCGTTACCGCCATTCGATGACATCGTGGATCCCAACGATTCAGACGTGGAGGAGAATATGTCCTCTAAATCTGACGTGAGTAGCCTCACTGGTGTTTCTCCTTTTTTGGGGTAGTTTTCAGATTTTTATTTCAAATACTTTTGTGAGAAGGAACGAGGGAAGAAAATGAATGCTAAACCCTGCAGAGGTAGCATGGAGATAGGGGTGGTCTAGAATTGAATTTCCATAACGAATGGGAAGAAGGAAATGGAATCATTAAGGCATCTGCAGAATTTTTTTAGACTAAGATATTAGTTGTTAAAGGAAAGATATATTCTAGAGTGTAATAATGGATTATTTGTATTGCAACAGAAAAACTTTGGTAACTATGCTTTTTAATTATTGTTGATTTAGGAAATGAAAGGAATACATAAAACCTGACAACAAGGGAAAATAAATTTAAAAGAGAAACCTAAAAAAACTGGGGTGGGGGGATATGGCTGTAATATTGATTTTTGAATCATTGTAATGAAATAATTTGTTTATATAATGGAAAAATGGCAGTAGTATTTTTTAATAGTTTTATTGAGGCAAAGTTGATGTACCAATATACTATGCATATTTAAAACATATAGTCTGAAAAATTTTGATATTTGTATGTACTTGTAAAACCATTTTCATTGTGAAAACAAAGTGATTTTTTCTTCATTGTATAGCCACTGATTTGGAAAGGGGCTGTTATGTGTGGGATCTTCATTGTGTATTCTATCAGCAGGATTATCCTCTGTGGGTACCTATAGGAGTGTCTGATCATCTAATACTTCCAAAGAATGTTATTTGATGTTGGGATTTAAGCTTATAATTGCAGATTTTCAGAGTTGGGAGGGATTTTCAGGTTATCTATTCTAACCTCTTACCAGCGTAAGAAATCTTATACTTCTGGTGACACAGCTGGTAATCAGAAGGTATTTGATTCTATTTCTGAAAAACAAACATCACTTACAATGAAGTTATCTGCTCCTCACTTTTCCTTTCTCTGATTTTAGTCTTCTTGAGTTACTTTTCAGTGACCATTGTTCCTCCGAAACTACTTTATTTGGCTTATTAGTATTTCTAGATGATGGTCAAACCAGATGTCTAGCTAAAGATCGCTGGCAATTTTAGAATACTTTTCTTTCTCTTCCATGAAGTTGCCTATAGATGGCCCTAGTTTAAATGATAGCAAGGTGTAGGAAGCCTTTCCCTGTCTTGGGTTTGCACTGTTCTGGGTAAAAAAGCAGTTGGAATCAGAATGTGGTAACAGTACCAAACCCCAGGAATACATAAACCACTTTCTTTCCCCCTACTCTCTGTGGCAATTTCAAACTTATGATAGAAGATCAAGTTAGGAGCAGAATGGCACAGAAAATACTGGAGGGTTGAATAATTTGTTCTTCCAGTGTTTAGTATAGGCTTAATAGTTATAGTCTGTAAGAGTCAAATGGGTTTGTTGCTGTATCTCGGGTATCTACTTTCCCTTGTGTGTTCCTACTTCGCTCTTCTTTAAGGTTTACTTGTAGTGCGGATGTTACTTGGCACTGTTGTTTATGTTTGACTGTTGTTTCAGATCACCCTGCATTTCTATTAGGGTGTGACTAATCTACCAAAATTGTTGAGTTTAGCAACTTTGTCTTTCTATATTCTGACATATTGTGATTCATCTAGAATAAAGGTTTTCAAATTGTGAGCTGTGAGTCACTGGTGTGAGCTATGAAATCAATTTAGCATGTCTTCATCAGCGTTTTAAAAATCAGAATACATTGTAATTAGTATGAGTAAGTAATGGTTTGTGAAATTTTTATCTCAGAGAGGGTGTGTGTGTGTTTTACAGTGGTCAAAACTTTGTAAGGCACATTTTTTAGAACATTTGCTTACTTGTGAGTAGACCAAATTGCATTCATAAAGCACTACTGAATGTTCTTTCTACATGGAACTATCACAGATGGTCTTCCTCCTTAGGTAATTTTGTTTATTCTCTCTCTGGGTTTGTTTGTTTCTTTGTTTGTTTTGTTGTTTCTTGTTCCTTCTCTCTTGTATATTTTTTATAAAGTATAGCTTTCTTTTAATAAAATTCTTTCTCGGTATATTTAACCAAAGCAAAACCTTCAAAAATCTCTGGAACTAAAAGTTAGAATTATAATTCCTTACAGTATGTAGTAAATTTTTCAAAGTGATGTATGACATGGTAGAGCTACAAATCCAGCTATTACAACAGGAGTTTTGTAATGTTTTCTGCATAGCATAGCAGAGGATGCATCTAAAGACTTTTTGAGTATAGTTTAGGTATGAAACCCAAGAACTGTATTTCCTTTAGTTTTCTGGTAATAAATGTCTTTATTGTTGCTGCTTGTGGTTTAATTCCTTAAACATAGATGGTATAACAGAGAGAATAGGTTAAGGCGGTGGTGTGTTTGCCATGTGTCCACAACCTTGCTATGCACAAAGTGGGGCAGGAGAGAAGCTGAAATTCCACTTATCCAGTGGTGAAGATAGCCTGTTTGGACTGTCTCCTACCCGTGGGCAGGGCACAAGGAACAGGAGGCAACTGCCATCAATAACAGAGCAGCATAGAGCCTCCCTTGGCAAGTAACTGATTTGTGTCATGGGGCAGGACCAGTGTCAGGGGCCCATTGTTCTGGGTGTGAGCATGATGATCTCTAAGTGATTAGATGGCCAGATTTCTCTAAAGTCGTGAACAGCTTCACTTTTTGATTATGAGCCAGATTTATGTTCATTTGTGGGGCTTTGAGTTGGCTGCTAATCTTAGATATGGCAGGCATAGATCATGGATTCTGGAAACAACCAAGCAAAGAAAGGATACAAAAGAAATCAGAAGAATGTAAGAATGAGGAAGACTGGGGGAAGTGACTATTCACCTGGTTTGTCCATGAAGAAAATATCTTGATCCTGGTTTGTTGAAATTAAAAGGAAGAATATTTTATTTTATTTTAATTAGATGTTATTTGCAGTGCTAGGAATTGAACATAGGGCTTTGTGCATGCTAGGCATGCGCTTTATCATTGAGCTATATCCCTAGCCCCGAAGAATTAAAGAAACTTCTCCATAATCAAGTTTGATGCAGGTTTTATATAAAAATAATAATCAGTACTATTAAGTTACATTAAGGAGTATAGCTTATTGATTCAAATAGTTTTTTTTTTTGTGTGTGTGGTACTAGGGGTTGAACCTAGAGCCTTGTGCATGCAAGGCAAGTACTCTACCAACTGAGCTATATCCCCAGCCCTAGAATAGTTCATTTTGATCAGATTTTTTTAATATTTATTTTTTAGTCATAAGTGGATACAATACCTTTATTTTATTTTTATGTGGTGCTGAGGATCGAACCCAGTGCCTCACACATACTAGGCGAGCACTCTACCTCTGAGCCACAACCCCAGCCCCACATTTTGATCAGATTTTTATATTCTTTATTTATGGGAAAGAGAAAAGATGATAGACACCCATGATATATGTGCTGTGTATTTTTGGAAGGTTCATGTATTTGTTGAGAGATGGTTGGTAGGTAGATAGGGAATTAGGAGTCTGCAAGCTGGAGTCAGGCTGTGTTTTGAATCCCACTGACACCAGTCATTTTGGGCATTTAACCTCCTTGGTTTAGTTTCATTTTTATAAAATGGAGATCATTATTAGGACCTGTATTGTAAAATTATTGTGAAAAATTAATCTATCAATCTGGATAAAGCAGTTAACAAACTAATAAAACATCTGTTATTATTGTTATGTGTGTCTTGGCTTCTGGGAATCTTTTATGACCTGTAGCTTTGAAGGAGATTTTATGATATTCAAATATACTGTAGAACTCTAGTGTCCTTTTTCAAGCACTTTAAGTGTGTGTTTGTGGCGGGTGGGGGGAGATACTTGGAGGGTATAACTTCTCTGCATTCTTTCTGAGGGAGGTATGGTGACCTCCATATGCACATTACATGGTCACTGGAAAAATACAGGACAGAGTCTGAGTTTAGGCACTTGGTAGTTTTCTTTTTTTACTACAGTTGCTATTAAAAGAAAACATCCTCAGAAATGATTTGAGTTACTGTTAGTATAACCGAAGAGAAATTTTTAAATGCTTGTGATTCTTGAAATGTTTCTCATCTTACAAAAAACCCTGATATTGTCACATGAACATTAGTCAGTAATTTTCCCTACAAAAGAATTTGGGTGGGGAGAGAATAAGGTAGGGAGGCAGGAGGCCTGTTTTATGGTGGGTGAACATTCAGTAAATACTGAAAGCATGGTAAGGGAATGTTTTTGTTGAGAATATTTTATATTTAAGAACACTGGTAATTCCCAGTATGGTGAAGCAGTTTTTGGTTTAGGAGTTTGTTGTTTTGGAGATATAAATGTCTAAAATACTTACAGGTTAGTAAATAAGTGACTTACTGGTGATTCACACTAACTAGCTCCAGGAAAGTGCAAGCATCTGAGTTTATCAGTATTAAGTAAAAGTTTATAATTGCGATTTTTATTAAGCTGTTTGTACTTTAATTGATAATAAAGAAGAACCCAAATATCTTTCACTCCTTCTGTAATTCCTCAGTGTTTGTTTTTGTTTCTCCTGTAACTCTGTTTCTGAAGATGCGCCTGTAAAATTGATTTTTGCTTTGTGATAAGAGGAACTTTTGTATTCTTAGCAGAGAAGTGGGGGGAGGACGATTAATAAGAATTTTGAAGTAACTCTTTATGATTGGGTTCAGTTATGGTAGCAATTTCCTAATCCTCACCTTCACTACTTTTGTAGAGGTTTAATCCTAACTCACAAGTGAAGAAGTTCAAAGTTTTAATTATCTTCCTTGAAAATGGGCAAGTTACATTTGACAAAATGTTGCAGACTTCAACTGACAGTGTGAGCAATGAGATTTCCATCACATCGTTTGATGGTTTTGGCTTACCAGAGTGTTTTTCCCTCCGATAAAAATCTTCTTGAGGAAGAAAAAATGAAATCTTACCATGTGGTGGCATTTTTCACAGGGCTGGCTGGTGGTTCAGATACAGGATGAATACTTCATACCACCTTAGCAGAAGTTTCTTTCAAAAAG